CCAGTGGAGGCATTCTGGATCACCAAGACCAAAAAAAGCACGCCAAGTTCGATTAAATGTAAAGGTTTTACTTACAGTTTTCTTTGACTGCAGGGGCGTGGTGCATTTTGAGTTCTTGCCACAGGGTAGAACAGTAAATAAGGAATATTACCTGCAAGTTATGCGCAATTTGCCCGAAGCAATCCGCCAGAAACGTCCGAATTTGTGGAAAAATAAAAATTGGCTTTTGCACCATGATAACGCCCCTGCTCACACATCGTTGCTTGTGCGCGAATTTTTGGCTAAAACCAACACAGTAACGATGCCACAGGCACCGTATTCCCCAGATCTGGCCCCCTGTGACTTCTTCTTGTTCCCAAAACTGAAGAGGCCCATGAAAGGACGGCGTTTTGCCACGATTGAGGAGATAAAGACGGCATCGATCGGATGAACTAAACAAGATCACAAAAAATGATTTTTTGAAATGCTTTGAGGATTGGAAAAAGCGTTGGCACAAGTGCATTATATCCGAGGGGGATTACTTTGAAGGAGATAAAATAAAAATTGATGAATAAATAAATATTTTTTGAGAAAAATAAAAATCCACCTTACTTTTTGATGACACCTCGTATAGTCTTTTGAAATTCTTTTTATCATTTTTCTTTAATTGTTAATAACTTTTGATACGAGGGGGGGTCAATAAGTCTTTACAAAATCCAAGAGATAGCGCTCGTCGCGCTTAAATTATAATGTTTTTGGCAAGCAATATTACCAATTAGATATCGTACAAAGTTTTAGCTCGGTTCATTAAGTCGTTTTTTTGTGAGCGTTGGTTGAATAAAAAGTTATTGGTTTATTTGAAAAATGGAAAAAACAGAGTTTCGAGCGGTTATAAAACATTTTCATTTGAAAGGCCTTACACTAAAAGAAATCACAGTTGAGGTGAACGCCGTTCATGGCAAGTCTGCCCCTGTGTTTAAGACTGTTTATAACTGGGTAAATGAATTTAAACGCGACCGTACAACAATAAAAGATGAACCTCGTTCAAGACGCCCCGTCGAAGTGAGTACGCCCGAAATGGTGAAGAAAATCCACGATATGGTGTTGAGTGATAGAATATTAAAATTGCGAGAATTAGTTGAGGTCACAGGGGTATCAAAGGGTACAATCATTTCAATTTTGGATGAAAAATTGGGGATGAAAAATATCAGCAAGATGGGTGCCGCTTTTGCTCACTGTTGAAAACAAACGATCCCGCGTGGTCACCCCTGAGGCTCTTTTGGCACGCATACGTCGTAATCCGGAAGACTTTTGGCGTCGACTCGTAACTGTAGGCGAAACATGGGTATACCACTACACTCCTGAAACCAAAGAACAGTCCAAACAATGGATTACCACAGGAGAATCAGCCCCAAAGAAGGCAAAGACAGTAAAGTCAGTCGGCAAGTTTATAGCCAAGGTTTTCTGGGATGCGTATGGAATCATCTACATCGACTACTTGGAAAAGGGCCAGACGATCACTGAACAATATTATGCTTCATTATTAGGTTAATTGAAAGAAAAAATCAGAGAAAAACGACCTCACTTGAACAAACAAATGCCTCTTTCTTCAAGACAATGCTCGAGTTCACATGTGTGCAGTTTCGCTGGCAAAAATTAACGATTTAAAGTTCGAATTAATTGATCATCCACCATATTCACGTGATTTGGCTCCCAGTGACTTTTTCTTATTTCCTAACCTCAAAAAATGGCTTGCCGGACAACGATCCACGTCGAATGAACAAGTCATCGCCGAAACAAATGCCTAGTTTGGCCGTTTAATAAAATGTATCGACCTTCAAGGAGATTCTGTTAAAAAATAAAAAAAAATTACATACGCAAAACTTTTTTTATTAACAATATAATGATACCGAAAATGTTCCATATATATCTGTCTTTCTCCATATATAATACACACTTATAGACACGAACACACTTTTTTTCACACCTTCAAAAAAAAAAACAAAAAAATTTGTGTTGATAAACAGACTATATTCACAAATTCGAATCTCCTAAACTTTTAAATAGAATAGTCTTGTCATCAACGTCAACATAATATTTTCAACAATACAAAAATGAAATTTTGATTGATTCATGTACAATTTATTAATTTGATTATTTATACTTACTTTTCATTACATAACATAAAATATAAACATTTAAAATGTGAAAAATTAATCTACAAAGTTCAAATCGCTAATCTAAAAATTTTGATATTTATGATTTTTTACATTAAAATTTATAATAGCTCTATCATTTCAATAAAAAGTTTAATCAAGCTAGCATTTTGTTATGAACTTCCATTGGTGATATTAAATAGAGTACAGTGATTATTGACGGTTTTAATATATTATTATTTTTGTGCTACTTGAACTGGAAAAAAGTTTGGCGAGATATTTCGGTCTTTGACATCGATTTAAAAGCTCGTTTTAGCGAGCACATACTTTGTTAGTATGTAAATAACTTTGCTTTAGCGCGAGTTAAACATAGAAATTGGTTATATTGCGATTCATTGAATGCACGAACCTATACAAACGGAAATCGACAATAATCAAATTTACCAAAAAACTAGTAACAAAACATGTTGCGACTCCCATTTGTTGTCCCGTCATGGGCACGTGAAAAAATGAAATTGTCTCTTTAAGGGCATCGTAAATAGAACAACTCCTGAAAGTTTCATAAGAATTCAAACAATGCTCCACATTTTACAGCAGTTCGAATTTTTTTTTTTTGCAAAGTAACATGTAAAATTTATCAATATTCCGACTTTTTGACTTTTCGACGTTCAGAATCGCATACGAAAATAATATTGAACTGATAATAATTTTTTTCCTGGTACATACGTTGCAGACCTTTCAACTTAAGCCATCACAACTTGGCCAAACTCATATCTACACAGCTGTAGAAGCGAGTAACACAAAAATCAAAAGTTTCTGGGATTTGCCCATATACAACAGTACATAACTGGCAAATTCACTCAAGACTAGACTCAAGAACCACACCAGAATCTAATAGCGATCGGAATATCTAACAGCATAGTTAGTCTTATTGTACTTAAATGTACGATAATTTTTTTTGTATAACTGCTCGAACGAGAACAAGTGAAGCGATGCGTTAATTTAATTTACCCTACGCGAGTATGAGCTAGTAGCTGGCGTTATGCTAAGTAAGCGCAATCTCTGAGTATTTTTAAGTCTCTGAATCCTTCTGAATATTTTTAAAATAGTTAACTTTTATCAATAAATCAACTTTTATTCATTTCCGTTTAGTTTATTTTATTCCCGACTTCTCGATTATCTCTTTTGCGAAGCGAATTTAGGTATTATTGGCTGCTAAATTCTTGATTCTTTTATTACCATTATAACAATGAAATTGAAAATTACAGGAAGATTTTTTTACATTTAAAATATGAGAAAGAGGACTTGCAATCTTTATTATATTCTTAGTAACAAATTCAAATAAATTAAATACTGACATGTCTTATATATTTATATTTTATCGAAAATTAAAAAATAATTAAAGTTTTAAACCTCATTAGTTGGAAGATTCGCTATGTACACAATAAAATCAAGAAACAATTTGGTTTGGCAAAGTAATAATTGTATTTTATAATTCAAAAATAATTATGAGGAAACTAAGAATTTTGTTGCAAAAACATATACCAACTAAATATCAATTCATTTCACTGGTACGTCATATTGTACTGCTATAGTTATAATTAATCATTCACAGTATATAAAAAAGAAAAATAAATCAATTCCAAATTATTTTGAACATTGCAAAAAATAAGTGCTGACAATCTACATAAAAAAATCTCGGCTAGGCCGATTTCGTCCATCTGGCTCTCGCTAATGTCCGCGCGGCGCGCTAAGCTAAGAGTGTGTGCATGTGGCACGCATACTCATGCTTGGATTTTATTTTAAGGTGCTGTGTACGGGCTGAGCTGACGGCTGGAGCGATCAAGATGGCGTGGAAGAGGAAGGAAAAGAGAGAGAGAGAGAGCTCTAGTTGCGGGTTACTGTGAAAATTTGGGAGTATCTGCTGGGCTTTAGCAGAGAGAAGGTCACGCGCGGATTTAACCGAAGTTAACAGTTTTCCAGAGTTAGCCTCGTGACTTCGTCAACGTTCGTTTTCGGAGACACGCCCGGTGCGCGGACGAGAATTAGAGAATTGTGGCTGGATCGTGCTTAGCCGTGTTCAGAAGGATAACCGGCATTAGCGCATGTGGGTAACCGGCGAGGTGCACAGGTATGCGCGTGAGCGGACTTCGTCGATGCTGCAAACACCGAGCAACCGAAAGTTAGCGGAAGCAACAACCACAATCAACGAGCTAACAACAGGTTGAGGCAGCAACAAAGATAGAGCAAACGAGAGGACGAATAAGAGAATAAACAGCGACGACAATAACACCAGTGAGGCGGTCAGCGAAGAGGAGTGCTCCAGTGACGTCAGACTGCGAAGCGTTCTAGCCGTCAGAGAGGCTGAAGGTCGAGGTTGGTGCCGTATTCTCTCTTGTCTCTCTCTTGCATGTTTGGGCGCCAGATTATAGGTGGGTAGTGTGGCAGATCTGCCGGCTACCCCGTTGACGAAATAATGGCGGAAATTGTTTATCGGGCATTGACTGTAATAATTAGTTTTAAAAAGGGAATCGACAGGCTGACCAGCCACCGATTCACCTTCGCGCTCGTGTTTGTTATTGTGCCACTCGTAGTATATCGGCGTGAGATCGCCGTCTTATAGTCGATTGTTGACAATTAAAGGATTAATGTATTAATTCGGTATTGTGTTTATTCGTCGCTGTATCACTCCTCATCCCGACTTCGACTTAGAGCGTTTACCGTAGTTTTGCTCGACGTGTTATTCAGTCGTGGGAACGTCTTTTGCTTCCCGAATCCCCAAAGAAATAATTTGGGAACAGCCGCATATCTCCGTTACAATTTATATAAACATATGCGTATGTACAATAAATATTTCATGCTTACCAAAGTAACGCTTTCTGGATCCTTAAATTCCACGTATGCTATACCTTTGAATCGTCTTGTTTTATTGCAAGTAATTAAACGCACATCTTGAACTTTTCCTACACTAGAAAAAAATTCTTCTAGATCGCGAGCCCGAATGCGCTGGCTCAGTTGCATACAGAATACCGTACGTGCATCTCTTTCTTCAGGTGTAAGTTCATCACTTTGTCTGAAAAAAAAGAATAAGTAATAAAGAACGCATAGTTCTTAAGAAAACTTTATAGTCTAAAAGATAAAGGACTTCTCTATTATTTTTTAACGAATATGTATACACTGGTGTACCAAATATTAGTGCATGCATATAGTCACGAATGAGTTTTGCAATTACAGAACGAATTTCTCTTAGCTGAAACAGAAACATCGCAAAAAACAAGGCAAGCTTTTTATTGCTGCCACCTTGGCTTTGGCAGTTCTAGACGTAGATATATATATTTTAGCAGATCGCACATGACAAAAAAATTCTTATAAAGAGAGCTGCCGAATTATTCATCTGTAAATTAGTTTTCGTAGCCATACTTTCTCCCTACCTGTCTTTAAGTTCAATGGCTTGATAGTCTGCGTATTCTAGACCTTGGTTATAACTATGTGTACTGCATTATGTATTCCTCCTAATTCAGTCATTCATTAACAATATATGCATATTTTCATTACCCGTAACCGAGTAATTTTTATAGCAGAAAAATAAATTGTAACTCTCTCTCTCTCTCTCTTTCTCTCTCTCTCTCTCTCCTCTCTCAATATATAACGGATTTCCCACTTTAAAAGATGTACCAGAACAACTTTCTTTGAACGCATTATTTTATAAAACCGTCGAAGTATGTCTCATAAATTTTTAAAAGAGTAACGCGATCGTGATTTTAAATTTGACCTTGGAGGTAAATTGAGTTGTCTTCAATAGCATGCTCTATTTTTTATTGCAAATTCAGTAATAGGATTAATGTAACAGCTGCAGGAAGGTCAAATCGTTTTATTGCCAGTGAACTTCCTTTCTTTACTCAGAATCTCAGTCCATCTTCCTATCAATTAATTCTCTGTCATTCTCCGTCAAAGTTGATTTGATTTTCATCCAAAAACAATGAAATTCTTCCCTCAACTATTATTATTCTTTATATCAATTCATATAATTATATTTGCTGAAAATTGTTACTTAGTTTTTTCAAAGAATGAGTGGAAAAAAATTTCATTATGTAAATAGTTATTTTCATTCATTAATGCTTATACCATTGCTTATATTCTGTCATTGATAGAATATCCCATGCCCAGGACCCACGGCGAAGACGTAACAAAAATGTAATACGGATGTAACAAGGTGATTTTCGGGTTCCAATGTAATTCAGCCCATGACGGCAAGGTTTGAGATTCCAACCGATTGAGGCAAGAAAAAATCTGTGAGGAATAATCTAACAAATAAGGACGTTGAGGTCTTATCTTATCGGATTCTTAAAAAATCTCCTATCATTATTGATTCAGAGCTGAATTATACGTTTGAAATTTTTAACAGTTCACAGTTATATCGGTCTGGATATATTACTGCAGCATAAAGAATACGCTGAATTATATTCCCTCTGGTTGTAGATTTGCATAAACTATGTACTTCAATTAAACCCACAGGAAAAAATCAGGAGGCGAAAGATCTGGTGATTTGAGGCACTACTCAATATTACTTCCGAATTGTATTTACCGATAAAAAAAATTTTATCAAATTTCGAATGATTCTGCTCATGTAACAGACGCACCATTTCGCTGGAACCTCATACGTTGTCTTGTATCAACATTGTTTAACCTTTATAAGGCCGAGATGACACCTGTAGGTGTCATATGTTTTTTCATTATTCAAACACAACTAAGTGGGTCCTTCAGGATTGTTTAGGTTACTGAACTCGATTCTGTCATCAAAATGAAAATTTAAGATGGCGGAAGTAATGTGACGGACACTATATCAGGTATTCTTTTTTAAACTTTCCACCTGAATATCTCAGAAACCGCGATGCGGATTGAAAATCGGCGAAATATGTATTCCATGAATTTGAGAGGGACGAAAAACTATATAACTAGTTTTCTACCCAAAATGGGTACACTGCCTATATTTAGGTTAACTTGATTTTTTTGAATGGAAATCTAATTTTTTATTTTCGCAACACGTTCTAGGCGGAAAAAATTAACTTTTGTACGAAAAAATTTTTCTCTCTTCCTAATATTTCAAGCTATTAGCGCGGGAAATTTTGAATGGAAAATTGTTTTTTGTAAAATTTCCAACTCAATATCTCAGAAATCCCAGAAACAACTGGTTAAACCTCTATTTCAGGATCATTAGCTGTTTTCCGCGATTTCTGAAATGTTGAGTTGGAAATTTCACAAAAAACTACAATTTAGGATTCATATTTCCACGTAATAATAACTCGAAATATTGAGATGGAAGAGAAAAGTTCATTCTTTTTCCGCGTAAAATACGCTGCGAAAATAAAAAATTAGATTTCCATTCAAAAAAATCAAATTAACCCCAATATAGGCATTGTGCCCACTTTGAGTAGAAAACTTGTTATATAGTTTTTCGCCCTCCTCAAATTCATGGAATACGTATTTCGCCAATTTTCAATACGCGCCGCGATTTCTGAGATATTCAAGTGGTAAGTTTTAAAAATACACCCGGTATACTAGATAATTACATTTTCAAATTTGTTACTCAAACTTATATTGGATATGTACGTGGTCTGTACATGACCGCTAGGTGGCTACTATCCACTATCAAAATACTCGCAAGTGAAAACACTCAGTGGAAACTATAAGTTAGAGTGAGCCTACTATTTGTATTCAACATATAGCTCTTGTAGCTAAAGTAATCTACATAATTTTGAATTGTCATTGTTTGAATTTGCTATTTATGAAAATGGCTAATAGTAGTAGAGAGTCTGAACTAGATGTGAAATAGATTCTGATGAGGAGATTATCGAGATAGATACTGATGATATTGATTACGTTCCGGGTTTGGACCTATTTCGGGACAATTATTTTTTCTTCTCTATAAAACCGTTCGTTTCACGTTCTGGTATGGAAAAAAGATATTAGACTAGGAGAAAATGATCCTATTCATTATTTCTAATTATTTTTCGATAATTTTTTTCTTGACGTTATTTGTGAGGAAACCAATCGTTATTATTATCAATACCCTCAATCCAAGTGTGTAAATATGAAGGACTAGGAAGATTTAGACAGAAAAGAGCTTCTAAATTTTTTGCCCTTCCAATTCTAATGGGACACGTTAAGAAAGGATACCTTTAAGATTATTGGAGTACTTCTCCTATTTTATCAACTCCTATGTGATGGCCAGCCGTAACTTAGTCTTTTTTTCCTCTATTAATTTAATTATTAAATATGACGAACGGAGTGGGAACCTTCCTAATTTCCCACGATGAAAACGCATTCAAAATATAAACTTTGATAGTGGCCCGAGCCTGCGTACTCAAGCTTACAATCAACGCTCTATCCTGCTTTGTCCCACACGCATATGTTGACAGGGGCTTACGATCATCGCGTATGCGAGGTGTGATCAAAAAGTAAGGTGAATTTAGAAATTTAGCGGGCTACGTCCGTTCGATCTTCGGCTTTTTTATTTGGTTATGTCGGTACACTCGTCTAGAACATACGTTCCAAATTTCAGCTTTGTAGTATGTTTCGTTTGTTTGTGAGAGGCATCAAGGTTAGAAATGTTTTGCGTGTTCCACGATTTGCTGCTGTCTAAAAACATGGATCAAAGAGTTTGCATTAAATTTTGTGTGAAAAATGGAATCAAATGTTCCAAAACACTTGAAATGCTGAAAGTGGCATACGGTGAGTCTACTTTAAGCCAAAAAAATATTTACAAGTGGTATAAACTCTTCCAAGAAGGCCGAGAAGACACCGACGATGAACCTCGTTCTGGACGCCCCAGCACATCAACAACTGATGAGAATATTGAAGAAGTGAAGAAAATAGTGTTGGGAAATCGTCGAATTACCATTAGAGAAATTGCTGATGATATTGGCATCTCATTTGGTTCGTGCCAATCAATTTTGACGAGTGTTTTAGACATGAGACGTGTGTCAGCGAAGTTTGTTCCGAAATTGCTCAATTTCGACCAAAAGAAACGTCGCATGAGCATCGCCCAAGAGCTACTGAATGACGTCAACGATGATCCAGATTTACTCAACAGGGTTATAACAGGTGACGAAACATGGGTATACGGTTATGACGTCGAGACTAAGACTCAATCGTCCCAGTGGAGGCATTCTGGATCACCAAGACCAAAAAAAGCACGCCAAGTTCGATCAAATGTAAAGGTTTTGCTTACAGTTTTCTTTGACTGCAGGGGCGTGGTGCATCATGAAAGAATCATGCAAAGACGGCATCGAAGGATGAACTAAACAAGATCACAAAAAATGATTTTTTGAAATGCTTTGAGGATTGGAAAAAGCGTTGCCACAAGTGCATTATATCCGAGGGGGATTACTTTGAAGGAGATAAAATAAAAATTGATGAATAAATAAATATTTTTTGAGAAAAATAAAAATTCACCTTACTTTTTGATCACACCTCGTACATCGTGAAGTGTTATCACGCTGATAATGGAAGAGGACCATAAAAATGCAATTTATCTTTTTTTTTTCCCACCGATTTTTAAGAAAATATCCGTAATATTAAATAGATTTTCATCAATTTTGTAAGCTATTATAATGCGCATCTTTTTGTCACCGAATAACCAATAAATAGAACAATAATGTATTTTATAATAAATCGTAAAAGGTTTGGATTTTTCTGAATATTTATAATAATCACTATGTATCGTTATAATTAATTAAACTTAGGACGAGTATGTATAAGTAATTATAAACTATAGCGTTACTCTTGCTCTTAAAAGTGGCACTCCGAGAGCCATCTCTGGAGAAAAGGGCCCAAGTTAAAACGGACCGCCCTTTCTCTCTCTGAAAATTCACGCCCACAGACCAATAAAGAAATTCTGGATATAATTAGAAAATTTCCCACCAATACAAAATTTGGCCGTTATCGCTTCATGGGCCTGAGGAATGGGATTTCCACCCAACCACCCACGGCTTATAAAAAGCTCTGTACAAGACTGGAAAAGAGGAGTTGGAAGTGGAGTGAGCACCAGGAAGTCCCTAACAAGAAGTGTTT